TAATAATAATTATTATTATTATTATTATTTTAAATATGTGAACATTTTGCAAAACATTTTGTAATCCAATGTTACATCATGTAAGTGTAATTGTTACAAATACTTTTAACAATAAAATGTATAATAATAATAATAATAATATAAACCAAAACAATCTCTCTTTAGATTGTTTCAATCAAATTAATTATATCTGAATCATAAAATATTGTAAAAGTTCATTTGTTATTGTTTATGATACCTCTGATATTCAAGAATATTTGAATAAATCTGGCATCCAGTGTTCTGCATTATGCAAAATGTTGAGGTCATAAATTTGAAGCCTGTGATTACAACAGAGTGTAATTCTGTCAGCAGCTTGCAGTATGATTAAGCCTTCTGAACTGAAATAATTACAGCTTTGCTGTAGTCTTATCATACTTGTTTTCGCAGTGAAATCTCTATTCTCAGTTGTGTTCCAAACCTATCAATTGTAATCTAAACTGCCTGCTGAATTTCATGCTCTCTGGTTTTCTTTCTTTGTCTGTCTAATGTAAGTCTTTCCAGCATGTGAAATGAACACAAACTCCACGATGGACACGGTTGCTCTTGAAATGTCACTCAAAATGCTTGCTTCTCTCTGCATGTATGAATGGCGTGTGTTTGTGGGCACGTGTAAATGACACCACACACGTTACAGGAACACAATGATGGGTGTAAGCACAGGAATGACCCAGGCCCTCATCAGCAGCAACCCCCTGGCCACAATGCAAGGTTTGTCATAGTGAGAGGACGAGAAAAAGGGCAGAAAATGATTGACAGATGGTTGCATGAAAGTGTTTTAATAGAACGATATGGAGGAGGAGAACATGATTAGAGCTCAGTTAGAATAACATGAGGGAAACCTTTCCATCAGTCATCATCAAAGAGCCGTCTACTATACTCTCACCGCATATTCATCACATCTTCATCCTCACTACTTACATACGTGTGTTTGTTGTGTACGTTTGCGTATATATGTGGTGTGTCTGTGCATTTTGTCTGTCTCTTTCAAAAGCACCTGCCATTTCTGTGCCCTTATGTTTGTTCTTGAACTCATTTTCATCCGAACCACTTCAAACCCTTTGCCACCAACACAGTGCTGGAGGCGATGCACATTCTAGAACCATTGTGTATGTTTACCCTGAAAAAAAGACAACTCTGGGCCAAATATGCATTTTATATTTAATAATCTATTTTTATTTACCTTAAATTTATATATTTATATATATATATATATACAGTGGGTACGGAAAGTATTCAGACCCCCTTAAATTTTTCACTCTTTGTTATATTGCAGCCATTTCGTCTGTTCCCACCTCACACAAAAGCTCTTAACACAGTCCAGATGCCTTTGGAACAGAGTCAGAGAAGGAAAATTATCCTCTTGGTTTTCAGGAGTAAATATTTTCATCAGTTTGGTACCCACTGTATGTGTGTATATATATATATATAAAATACATTTTCATTTATTTATATGAATAGTATAATTTTTTGTTATATATTTTTTTAAAAAGAAAAGAAAATTACACTACCTTTCAAAAGAATGGGGTTAGTAAGAAAATGTCTAACATTTTTGAAAGAAATTGATACTTTCATTCAGCAAGAATAAATTAAATTAATCAAAAATGATTGTAAAGACATTCCCACAAAAATATTAAGCAATATTAAGCACCAAATCAGCATATTAGAATGATTTCTGAAGGATCTTGTGACACTGAAGACTGGAGTAATGATGCTGAAAATTCAGCTTTGTGAACGTAGGAATAAATTGCATTTTAACATAAATTTAAAAAATAAATAAATAAAAATGTGATTGTAAATTGTAATAATATTTCACAATATTACTGTTTTTACTGTATTTTTGATCAAATAAATGCAGCTTTGGTGAGCAAAACTTTTTTCAAAAGCACCGGCACCTTTTTGGTGGAAAAGAGTCATCAGACAGCCATCGTATGAGTATATATGCACTGTATGCCCTAATTTGCTCTCTTTCCCCTCTCTTCTCTCATCTGTTTCACAGCCCTGGCTGCCAGTGGTGGGCAGATGCCCATTTCCGCTCTTGACGGCAGCGGTCAAATGTTCCTGGGTGGAGCTGGAGGTCCAGGAGCTGGACTTCGTCCGTCCCTCTTCCTAAACCACCCCACTTTACTGCCCCTGGCGAGGAGCGCAGGCATGGGTCTGGTCGGCACCCCCAGGGCTTCTCCGCTTCCTGGTGCCAGTGGCACAAGCCCAGACTCCTGCTCCGTCTCCCCCTGCTCAAGCCCCGCCTCCTTCTGCTCATTAGGCGAAGCCTCACCACCCCCTCTGGGAGGAGCCATGGCTGAGTGACGCCCACACCAACCTGCTGCACTTGAGGGGAGTCAGAGGGGCGGAAGAAAGAAGACAGACAAGACTCGCCTTTTCAACCAAAGCCATCTCTCCCTCCCTCCATTTCTCTCTTGTGCTCTCTCTCTCTCATTATGTCTTTTAATGCCAAAAATACAGAGAAATGAGCAGAAGAGAACAGGGATAAGGAGAGAACAGGATAACGGGGGACTGTTTAAACCAAAAATTTGACCTATACAGCGTGGAGAGGTGGCTTCAACGGAGCTACTTTGAGAATGTACATTTATTCCTTTCCAAATGGAAAAAGACAAATATACACGAACAGATGAATTTGAGGGCAGGGTCGAGAGCCAAAAAACTTTGCGAAGAAACAACAACAAAAAAGGAAAACGGGTGGCAGCGAATGGAACAAAGGAAGGACATTTGACAAATGTCACTGGACGGTAGAAAGAGAAACCAAAAAATAAACACATGGAGGAAGAATGGAAAGACTCACAAAGACAAAAAATGCCAAAACCAAAATACCAAAAACCAAAACCAAAAAATCGGAGAGAAAAGCTTTATTAAGACTTTGAAACCTGACTTGTCCAGGATCAGATTAATTTTACACAACACCAAAAACCATTTTTCCATGCACCCCTATAATTAAAAAAAAAATCTTTTTTTTATCTATTTGTAAATGTATTTCTCAATCTACCTCTGCTACCAAGGATTTAGATTTTCTCATTCTTTTTCATTCCATTTTCACTTTTGATCCATAATATTTTCAGCATTTTTTTCCTGTCAAACTTACAATGAAAAACATGACGGCAAACAAATTTAGAGGGATTTTTTCCCACTTTCAGCAGTAAAACACACACACATACACTGACACTTATTGTGACACACATCCCCGATTTCCTTTCCATCACTGATCATCCGCTGGAAACGCATCCATGCCTCAAACTTTGACTCACTTTTCTTGGATACCAAAGCGTTTGTCTGGCCTTTTGCGTCAGCTGTAAAGTGCTCAGACGACAAGACCTCAGACATGTAAAAAAAAAACAACAACATACACAAGGAGAAATATAAAAACGAATCCCCCCGATCCCCTAAACCCCTGCCCTCTCTGGACCCCCTCTCCTGTGCCTCGGACAAAAAACATGGGCCAAATGAAGAAAAGCAAGAGGAGCAGCGACTGAAGGGGATCCGAGGAAACTCGCAGGGGGAAATCCAACAACCATGATGCAGAGGGGAGACATGTGATGTCGCCATTGTCACTTTTTTTATTTTTCCAACACACGGATTAAACCAAAAATGAAACCAAACCAAAACCAACTGAGCTTTACTCAATGGAATGAAACCAAATACTAGGAGTGGACCACAGGAGGTGCACGAGGAGGAGGTGTTTAGAGTAGCAAGACTCAACGTGGCTTCGACCAGAAGATCATTCCTTCACCTCCTCCCTCCTTCTTTCCGTTAAGTCGATGCTTTCACTCTCCTTCCTGGACGGGAGAATATTTATTAACCTCATTGAACTGAACATCAGAATATATATATAAACGTATATATTTTGTTTTATTGCTTTTTCCTCTCGGTCTGTCTGTTTATGCTGTATGACTCGTCTCATTGCTTTATATTTTTGGGATAATGGGGTGACGTATTGCCTATTTTCATATTTTGTGTGTTTCGTCATTTTGAATTGATCATGCCGAGGGGGGGTTTCCCTCATCAGGCGGTTTCAAACAATACTGTGAACATGTAGCTTCCAAGTTTTGCTTCGATTGTGAATGTTGTGAAACAATAAGCCAAAACTGAAGACATACCAAAAGCGAAAACTTTTCTTTTTTGACACCAAATAGCAACCTAACCAATGCACAACGTGTGGAGAAAGACCGTATTGGTGCTAGGTCTCTTCGAGGAGAGATAGGGAGACGTGTGTAATGTGGAAGCTCATCTCCAGCATGGAAACCAAACCGAAACACGACCGGTAAGCCAACGTAACTTTCGCTCGGTGTGTCGGCGAAACTGTTGACTATGTGATCTTAGACGCAAACAAAAACGCGGACAAAGGAGAAACGTAGAGGTGGGTGGGACGGGGTGGGATGGGGGTTTAAAAGCAACTGGAAATCCAGTTGACGTTACACTTCTAGAGGGAATGTACCTGTTAGTGCTTTGATAGATTTTGTAGGAAAAAAAAAACTATGTGTAAATGCTTACTATTGCTAAAATAAAAAAAAAAAAAAAAAAGGATGTGATAAAAATAGTCCTTATGAAATGTTGATGATGATGATGACTTGATTTTAGACCAAAAGCTTTAAATTGTCTCTCTTTGATTTTTTTTCCCTCGAAAATTTGTATTTATTGTGTGAGGGGACGGTGTATCGATGATTTATGTTTCCAACTCTTCATCTTATTTATTGGCTTATTTATGTATTTATAGCATTTTCATTTATCGATTCGGTGTTTTTTTTTATCTTCGGAAAAAACCAAACTGGGCAAAATGTGGGGTAGCTTCAGGAAAAAAGCAAGTGTCATTGTTTATCTGAAGACAAACTTAAGTTTTTGAAACCAAAACTAGCTACTAAAACTGTTGTTTTTGTGGGCACCTTTTCAAAAAATTTGTCCACCGCTTTCGAGAGATGACAAGTCCCTAAACTATATCTCTCACATTTAGTCAATGTAATGTACATTTATGGGCTAATTTTAAGTATAACTCTCGTTCCAACTGTTTCTTTTCATTTCGATTTTGCTTCGTTTTTTTAATATGCGTTGGATGAGGGAAATAGAGTGAGAGAGACGCTTCTGCATATACCTCATGTTTGATTAGAAATGCCAAATAGATGGGAAAAAAGCTTTAAGAATTTGACAAAGGGGAGCAGAGGAGATGTTGCTCAGGAGAGGGTCTTTTTAGCGTCTTTTTCGCGTGAGTATAAGGGTTCACAGATTTCCCCAGATTATCTATCCTACATCCGGTTCAAATATCCAGCCCACGATTGGTTTTGAAGAACAGTTGATGGCAGATTTTGGTTTTCTATGTGTACGTTGCTCATGTGATTGTTTTTTTTTTGTATATATCTCTGTGTGTTGGTGTGTGCGGATGGCTCTGCCGTAGAGGGCCCTGAATCATACCAAAGTTAAACCTCTACTGCGGGACCTCTCACATGCTAGACGCGCTCAAATGCATGGATGTTCTTGTAGACATGCACACGCAAAACTGTTCTTCAACCATTTACAGCAGGAATGTCCACGACTGCATCGTTGTCATTTTGTGCAGTATGTTCTGTTGTTTTGCTTTGCCAAATAGAGGTAAATCTCACATTTAAACGGAAGTATCGGAATTTTCTATCTTAGCTACATTCAAATTAGAACTTTTTGTTTAAATTTAAAGTTAAAATTTTGACTGTTTAAATTAATATCCAGTGCAACATGTCATTGTTTTTCCAGTTTGTTTCCCTTGAGCTACTACAGCTTCAATCCAAAGGTAACTGATTAGGTCAACAAAGGAAGATTTTCATGCTAAAACCTCAAGAGTTGAAACCAAAGAGTTCTGCCGTAACATGTTGTCAGGAAACATGCAGATGCTTTTACTTTTGTTCTCAGAACACATACCCGCTTCTCTTTTGGACATTTGATGTTGGTGACGATGCTAACTCCATGACGATGGTCACTTTCGACTCTGCGTTTTTGCGAAGATCCTTTTTCCTCTCTGTCAGTGTGTCTCGCTCTTACCTCAGAAGCTCTTCATGGAATTTGTAATCCGCTCTGGATTTGAATCTGGATTTTGTTTCAGAACTGTTGAACTGTCTGTTACTCATCGCTCTCTGTGTGCCTGTTGTATGGGGTGGGAACGGGGTGGGCAAAGAAGGGAGGGGGCCAAACAGCCAATAAGTGTTAGGATTAAAGTGCAACTTTAGACCAAAAATGTGTCCATGTCTGGTTCTGTTTTCTCCTTTACCTTTTAAAGGGGTCATATGATGCGATTTCATTTTTCCTTTCTCTTTGGAGTGTTACAAGCTCTTGGTGCATAAAGAAGATCTGTAAAGTCTCAAATCCAAAGAGATATTCTTTATAAAAGTTAAGAGTCAGCCACGCCTACCTAAAACGGCTCGTTCTAACACGCCCCCACATGTCTACGTCACGATGTGGGAAGATAAATAATGTTCTTTTTAGCAACATCATATGACCCCTTTAAAAATTCTGTGTGTGTGGGAAAATACGGATTTTAATTCTACACTTAGCTCTAGGTTAATTTCTTTTTAACCATAGGTTAAGTAACATTTAATTCCACTGTTAACGCTGACTTATGAAGCTCTTTTGCAGTGCCAAAGGCATGCAGTGTCAAATAACATGCTGCTAGAACATCAGTTGTTTACCATCCAATCATAAGGTAAACAATGCCTGCCTTATTAAACATTCATGCACTTTTATGAATACAGTCACAGAAACTCACACACTGGATTTAGTTTCAGCATATGAGGGAAACGTGTAAAGTACAGTGCAGTGATGGAAGAGTTTAGTTAAATTAATCAATTTAATTGACAGTTTCTCAACTAAAACAAGTTGCATGCTCCTTCTGTGTCTTGCACTTGTCCAATTAATGTTTTTAGTTGTGTAAATATGTAAATAAGATGCAGTTTTTGCAAAACCCTGACTACTTGGATTTTATTATTATATGAACCAAGTATGAACCAAGTGCAACTTTCAACAAGATAAATCATGCAGAATTATGTTGACCCATAGTTAAAATGACCCTGAGTTCATTTAAAGTGTGAAAAGCTCAATTAAAGGAATATTTAATAGAAGTTCAATTGACAGCATTAGTGGCGTAATGTTGATTACCACAGAAATTATTTCAATTTGTCCCTCCTTTTGACTAAAAAAAAATAAAAAAAATAGAGAGCCATTTGCAATGGAACTGAATGGGGCTGATTTTTGGAGGCTTGAAAATATAGAAATGTGAAGCTTGAAGTTTTATAAAAGCACTTGCTACACATTTAACAATTCGTCTTTTAAAAATTGACAGTTACAACTTGTATTACTTGAGCTGTAAAGCTGTTTAAATCATTTTACAGTCATTTTGTGGTTCTGGGGTGGGAGAGGTTAGAAGCAACTTTCAATCTGCTTTGCAATTTGTATTAATTAATTTTGTATTTTTTATTAATATTAATTTTGTATTAATTAATTAATAGCCATTACTATTCTTGGAAACCTATCAGAGCTGATTAAAAAACTTAATATTTGAAAAAAAACAAAAATGTAATTATTATTTTTTTTATTTAATTTTAAATTAATTTTATTTTTAATTATAGCTGGAGGTAGTGTGAACAGTGAAGGCCTGCATGCTAACAGTAGTTGCACTGTAGGTGAACTGTGTTTTCAGAGTAGTTCTGAAGGAACCATCTAATCATTATTCCACAGAGTAACCCTCACGTTACTCCAGGAGGACATGTACTTTAATAACTGTCTTTTAAATGACACATAACTGACAAAAGTAATTTTTATGTTAGCTAAGGAATGGGTAGTTCTAAAAAGAAAACTTTCATATCACACCTGCCAACTGTCACGCAGTGGAAATCCAGGTCCTTGGGAGAAAAACATTAAGCATGGGAATGTAAGGCATTCCCAAACACTTTCAAGTTTTAACACTAACAAGCTGATGATTTCTCAGACCGGAGTCTCTAAGAACCACTCTTTTAAAAGCTGGTTATGAGGTGTTTTGAGAAGTCGGTCAAGCACTTTTTAACATCGGCAGCAGTTCTTGACCTCTTTTGCTGTGTGACGTCATTGTGCTGTCACTTCTAAAACTCATGACACATAAATATTTGGACGTTTTAAAATCCCTAACAGTCTATTTAACTTCTACCTGTCGACCTTTAATGAAGCACGACCTGGCTAGTCTTAAATAGCCCACTGTGGCAGTATCATGGTAGGCTACAGTAATGGTATCAGAGATGGTACATCCATTTGATATGGTAGGCTAGCCTACTAAATACAGCATTCATTAGAAAAGAATGTTTACTTGCATATTATACTGATTCTGTAAATTGTTATGAAA